TGTTTTATTTTTATTTTTATTTTTTTCCATGTGTACAGGGGTAACGCATTGTACTAAATATGTAAGGTCATATCTATGTGGGTTTGATTACAGAACTAATAAAGTATTCTCTAAATAATGAAAAAAAGAATAAGATAAGACTACAAGAGCAAGAAGCAATTTAAATATGTTAAGGGACCATTTTCATCACCAGAATTAATGATTATTTTAATGTTACATCATTGCCTTTTCTCTTTTAATTAACTTTTTAGTTTTATTGTAGGATTCCCTATTTTTAATGTCCATACAGAGATGTCTTTAACTGAAATACCAAATACTTTCTCTGGTGTGAAAAACTATAATAGTACACAAGATCCTAATGAGATAATTAATAATGTGAAATAGGAAGTAAAGGGCTAAAGGTGTAGGGAAAGTGGGAAGGGTGGGGGAAAGGTAATAAGGGAGAGGAAAAAAATATGAGAAACTGAAAAAATGGAAATAAAGCGTTTGTAAATGGAGAGGGGAGGAGGGGTGAAGGGAGGGCAGGGACAAGGGGAAAAAATGAGAATCAAGACCTATTATGTAAAGGTACAGGATCCCAATGATGAATGTAACTGTATTGTATACCTAGATTGTACCAATAAACTCAATAAAACAAACAAATTAATTATGGGTCATCTGGATAAAAAGAGATGATCTTTGTCACTGTAAACAATAGTATATCTGAGGTTTGGAATGCTATCTCCTAGAAATCAGAGTAAAGCAAACAAATCCTGACCATTGGCATTCTGATGGAATTAAGGGCAGGAGTTCAACTGTAAGGTGTCGCTGGCCTGACATTTCACATGATATTGTCTTTCTTCATTGTGTATCTCATCATACCATCTGGATGTTTTCTTTTGATCAAAAGTTACCTCTTTTAGTAAGATTAAAACCACCAGCAACCCACATAATTAAAGAAGAAAACAAAGTGAACATTCCCTTTTGGAAAATAGAAACTCCCTGCAGTTGCCAAAATGAATTTGAAATGCTTGAAGATTGAGGTTATACATCCAGTCAAATTGCAATTTCACATAAGCAATTATAAATCACTAGCTTTGTGCTAGAACATAAGCAGAACTAGAAAAGAGGTTATTCTCCGAAAGGGCCTCTGGGAAAGGAAAGTGGGAGTTTTCACAACCCATTCATAAAACCTAAGGACAAGTCCGTGAACTTTTCTACTGCCTTTGCTACAGAAAAAAGACAGCCCACTCTTTCTATTTGTTAAAATGCTTCCACTTTTGTGTCCTGTGAGAACAGAAAATGCTTGACCCTGAGGGGGTCCACACATCTTATTTTTCATAAGTTAAAAAAAAAAGACATTTTGTCATGAATGTGTCTTGCCATTCATTAGGGAATACCACTGTCATGTTGTGACCTGCGTCTCTAATAAGTTCTCAAGTTTTCATTGGATCAGAGAGATATGAAAGGACAGAGGATAAAACATGAGAACCCTACTATGTGTGAGGCTCTGTGCTAGGAAATGTAATATAAACTGTTACACTAAGAAAATTGCTTACTTACAACATCAGTTTCTGTCTTCAAGTTATGGAGATTGATGATAATCATTTAAAAGATTTTTTTTTTTCTTGTTTCAGTTGCTGTTTGGAAAACTCTGATTGGGAAAATACGTCTTTCTTTGACACTAATACCTCCTTTTAAAAAGGACCAAGAAGTCCTCCTCTGCTTGAGGTAAAGGACTATACCTGGCCATCCTGTAACCGCTGTAGTGCGGTCTGCAGCATTTTCGGTTACTCTTCCTTTGCAGCTCCCACTGCCCACTATAAACCAGTGCCTTCTTCAATATGAAGACGTGTGTGTGTTCATGACTGTGTGCAGGTGGTTTTGGAAGCAGCCCGGAAATCCCCCAGAGAAGCCATTTACATAAGTAAACACTAGAGCATCTCTACACCCAACAGCATGTGACCCCGGGGCAGCGAGGCACCTCCAAAGCAGTGCTTCTGCTCCTTCAAGCTGCACCACATCCTCCCCAGGACCTGGAGAGCCGCTTCAAGCACAGCTAGCTGCCTTCCCTTCACATTTCTCACTTTGGTGTCACTAAAAACTCGCTTTCTTTGAATTAAATTCATTTAATCTCTTTGTTGTTTTCTCTGTCTCCTGGCTATACTTTCTAGCTACACTTGCTTTAGCTGTTTTAAATTTTAGAATAAAAGATGTGGAGCTCTATCACCATTTTCTGAGGACCTACAAGCCAAGTGTCATTCCGTTTGCTCTATTTATATAATTTATATTTTCTTTATATGAGTAATTCATTTTCCTTATATAATCTCCATAGCAACCCCCTGAGGTACATGTATCCCCATTATCCAGAAGAGGAATCTGAGCCCTGGATCCTGTTAGAAATTATTAGGGCAGCAATAATGACTCAAACCCAAGCTTCACTTTCTGAAACCTACCACCCCTAACAGTTCAGCTGTATTGCCCACTGAGGACTGACCTTAAACAGCATGTAAATGTATCCTCATAAGTTATCTTCAAAGATACCTTTTATTTTAAAGAATAATTTTTGTAAGGCCAAATTCGAATGAGCCGGTTCTTAACATTATTTTGGCTACAGATGCAGCACAAAATTTGACAAATGAGGGCAGGGGCACAACAGGCACCCACCATGCCAACATTAATGGCGTCTTCCTGCTATATAAGCTCCGCAGTCACAGGCGGAGGCTGCCAGTTATCATTCTGCAGAGGTTCTTAGCAAGCCCTCTCATTTTTTGCTTTTACTTTTTACTGAAGTGAAATGTATTCTTTCCATTACTGCACACAGGCCACGATGCAAGGAACTGATTCACAATAGACACAATGCTGAATCCTCACACGTCCAACCGCGACGTTGATGTCGGTGTGGCCTTCTTACCCCATCAACCTCAAGGATGTGATGTTTTTCTCGCATCAGCAAATTCTTCCCATCGGCTGAAGTGGTCTTGTCTTGTCTATTACAGCACACATAAGAATAAGCCATAATTCACTTTGTGCTCTAGAAACGTTCAGAGAAAAAGGATTTGGCCACAAGGCAAAATAAATACTCAGGGGAGGCTGCAGTCTAGAACTGCATGTCAGTAAAGAGCTTCAAGTCTGGATTCTGCCACCTCTTTTCTGTGAGACTTTGAACAATTTACCTTATGCTCTCCACGTTTCTGATGGTGTGAAATGGGGCTAAGACTACACATCCTGCATGGTGTGAGTTAACAATATTAAATGAGATTAGATGAGAAATTCACAGAGCTGGGCGCTGAATAATGAGCGTTGTACTGTACATTATTCTTAATAATTTTCAATGTGCTGGTTATCTGGCATGACTATACAGAACAGATATTCAGGTCAATAGACATTTTTATATGTATTTATCATTGTTAAAAGCAATACATAGGATTAAACTATGGACTTTTTGCTTGTAACCCAAAGAAAAACCAATCTTTTGAGTTTCTGACTTCGAAGGAATGAGAATATTAAAAAAATACTTTAAAATTAAATCATATGACTTATACAATCTTTGGTCCTTTGGAAAGATGCTCTGTGTTTATGGGGACCTTCACAAATATTAATCATCATTATTATATAATAGATATGCACATACAGAGTGAGTTTGCCAGATGATAAACTATCAATTATTCTTTTACTATAATAAAATATTCTATTATGTTGTGCTTTTATTAAGAAGTCACCTGGAAGATTTATTTTTAAATGATACTGAGACCACAGTGGGTACTCAATGGCTGCTTATTTAATTAAAGGCCTAATTAAAAACCACAGATGCCAGACACTACCTGAGCACCTGTATGTACTCTCTTTATTTCTCACTTGTTGTGTATTCTTTCTTGTTTTACCCTCCCTAGCAGCATAAAAATTATATGCCTATTTTATGTTTGAAGCCACTGTGTATAAGAAAGTATAATTTCCAACATACATACACACCTAGTAAACTGAATAAAGTAACTAGTAATTAGTACCTCAAGATTCTAATCTTGGCCAAACTTCAAAACTCAGGTTGTTTTTCACCACGCTGTGTTGCCTGCCAAATTTGACAAAGAAAGATATGTAATTTTCACATCAGTCAGCAGCTCTGCCTACAAATGTCTTATTCTCCCCATGACCAATCTGATAACCTGCTGGGGGTGGCAATGGCAAAGTGTAAAGAATAGCTATACAGAAACATCTCTCTCTTACATAAAGAGGGAGATTTCAAATTAAGAAAACAGGAGATAAAAAAATTCAGTAGAACTCTTATCTGAGGTAACCATTCAGTTGGAAAATATGACACTTTTTCTGGCTTGTAATGTGGCTTCACATAAATGAGCTGCTGTCCCAAACTAATTAGAACACTGGTTGCAAACATAACTTGGCAATTTGATTACTTAGTAATTTGAATAAAGCATCGCAAAGGGTATAGGAAAACTATATGCATAAATCAAGAGTTTCTCCAACTTTAATGAATCATTTTTTAGAAGATAACCCACAGTTAAAAGTTACTTTAGATGCTAATTAAGGAAGCTATAATCATAAACAATTTTTCTGTTCCTGAAATAAAATTTAATCAATCTAGGATCATTTCCTTTTCATCTGTGCAAAGTAAACAGTAGTAACTTATGTGTGTAATTAATTATTCCAAGAAACTGAAAATGTAAAACAAAAAAGAAATCAAGGACTACAGCAGAAATTCAGCATCAACTGGCACACTAATATGAAGTAAAAACTCAGGCCCTCCTCTAGGTGCTGCTAGTAAAAAACAGGGACCAGAGGCCCTTGAAGAGTCATCCATACAGCTGAGATGGCCAATGGCAGGTGAAGATTTGTAAGTTCTGCTAAGTCTCACAGACTACAAATAATAAAGAAACTCAGAAGATTTAATTGATTTGATCACCTTAATAACTAGGCTTCTCAGAATGGTGCTAGATACTTTGGTTGCAGAAGTGGTCCGACTTCCTTTTTCTGTTAGAATCAAATTGCTATCAAGAGCCTAAAGTATAGAAACAAAAGGAAGTAAAACAGTTCTAAGATAAAATGAGGCAAGGTAAGGCTGTTAGAAAAGCCAGAAAAAAAAAGCACCTCTGTGTGTTTTATTTATGAGGCTAACAGAAGGGACTGACAGAAATGAATGAATTAGGAAATCTCAGTCTAAGATAAAAATAGCTCTACAATTGTCTTCTGTCTTGAGTATAGCTATATCATGCAACCTGACAATGAAGATCAGAAGCCAAATATTTTTCTTAATTTTATGATAATGCACAGACCTGCTCAATGCTATAAAAATTGACTAGTCACAGAAACCAAATCATAATGCTCTGCTTCTGCATATAATAACAGAGGCGATGAAATGTGTGACCTAGACAGATGTCCTTCTAATAAGTAGCACTAGAATTCAACAGTGCAGAAAGAGGTTAAGAAACCTCCTCTCATGAACGTGAAGGTCAATTTGTTTCTCCAACTTTTCACAACTCACATTTTTAAAAGTAATTTAATAAATCTAAACATTTACCTAACATGAAAAATATATGAGATAGAAATTTCTTAAGACACTTCAGAGAAAGTATCACAAGAAAAAGGTTAAAGACAAAAAAAAAATTGTGTGTGTGTGGTACCAGGGATTGAACTCAGGACCTTGCACTTGCCAGGCAGGCATGGTGCCACTAAGCTACATCCCCAGCCTAGAAAGACAAAATTTATAGTACAAACAAGCACAGATTAATCCTGTTACCTTGTGCATAATGAGTTAACAAGAAACTACACAGAGATCTTTTTTTAAAAAGTATCCATCCATAATTATTTTTATTTATCATTAATGAGCAGAGTAATTAGCACATTAATAACAGATATGTTTACTATTATATACCCATCAGTGCAGCTTTCAATACCACTTGAAACATGCACATCTTCCTAGAGACAATCAGTTTTCCAAAGCATATTTGATACACATTACTGCAAAGCCATTATAAATTACTGAGGAGGCATTTGTTTTAAAAAATAAACAATAAATCATATTGTCTATATAAATAAACTCTTGTTACTGAACAAAAGTTTAACAGTATTTATCTGGTAGTTCCTATCCTAACTGAAAAACATTGTGGATGTATTGATGTACTTTTCTTTTTATATTGGTGCAATATAGTTTTATAAAGTCATTGTCTATTGTAGCAGGTAGTTTGGTGAAAAGATTATACTCGATTTATGAAAGCCCAACAAACCTCTAAATATTTAAAATTAAACCAATTATCAATAAAAACACCCACTGACACACATAATTTTGTGAAACACCCCCCCTCACTTTTTTTGTGGTTTCTATATTTACTCAAGGCAGTAAAATAATTCTCTCAAATTAAGGCACTAAAAGGGTGATGCAACTCCCACCGAAAGTGCTCTAAGAATAATTTACATTTCAAACAGTGCATACATTTCTTATGTTGGTTGACTTAATGTCTTTATCACTTAAAACCACAAAGAAATACATTATACAATTACAGATACGATATACCCCACAAAATGCTTTTAAACTTGTTTCTTTTGTACAGTTAGTTCCTAACGTCTCTACTAGTAAAATAATTCAAAATGGCTTGGCAAAAATATATAAATTAAATGCAATTTTTCCTGTCTTCTCCCATTTCCAAATCTACAAATCTGCTGCGACATATACAATAATTTGTAAAGCATAATATATTTAATTTCTCCATCAAGTCTACCAAGGGCAATCAATACTAAGGCTTTTTAAATTCTACAGTGAAGAGCACTGAAGTTCAAGTGACTTCACTGCTTTCTTAAAATAGATTTGTATAACCTTGCAAGAGCACATAAAGGTCACTTGAAAATTTCAGTTGGACTCATTTTGAGATATTTTCTTTACTCCTTCCATGAGTTGATCTCGATAGTGACGGCCATTCCACTTGAAAGTGAAAGCTCCTTCCTCTCATTCATAGGAGGAAAACTAGATCTTTAGCTAAAAATCCCAAAACCAGACAAGCTTCCCTTGGACAGCTATTTCAGCAAACACTTCAATTCCTTTTAAATTATAAAAGCACTAAGAAAGTTTGGGAAATAAAGAAAAATCATCACCCACATCTCTGACTCTTTAATAATCATTTGTAATATGCCTAGTCTTATTTTTCTCACATATACAAAACCCTTTATTTTGGTAGTAATATATTATATGCTACTTGCTCTTTTTCACCTAAAATGTTTCTTGGAAATGATTTCATATTGTTATATAGAGGTATCACATTTTTAACAGCTACATGATATTTCAATGTATGAATATAGCATAATTTATTTATCCAGTCCCTACCGAACACCAAGCCTTTTTTTTTTTTGGTACCAGGGATCAAACTCGGGACCTCGCACTTGCTAGGCAGGCAGCAGAATTCCTGAGTTAAATCCCCAGCTAAGTCATTTATACTTTTTGCTTTTACAAATAATGCTACATCACTTCTCAACCTTTTGCCTAAAATCAAGTGTAATAATGCTGCAACAAGCATTACAGTATTTAAATCTTAATGCAGATACATGATATACAGATGTGATAAAATCATAGACATGATTCATCTATAGTTGGGATTTTGCATAGATAATGTCATAGCACCTATTCGATTTTGCAGCCTGGATATTTCACTTTGGATGCAAGCATTTCTCATGCTGCTTTACAGCCTCCAAAATTAAATTTTTAGTGTTTTATTAGTTTTTTAACCAAAGGATATATCAGCTTTTTCTCTGCCTGTAGAGCATAGCTGTCTCAAATTATCTTCTCCTACAGCAGAGATAGCGAACCTTTTAGAGGTTTCAATGATAATAAAGCAACTGGCTGTGGTGCATGTCTTACGTTTGCCGTCACTGTCCTATTGCATCCATCCCACACGTCAGTGTTGGTACAAGCATAGCAAAGGAATGCTTACCAAGCTGTTAGTATTAGTTATTTAATCTTTGCCTTTACACTATGACTGGTTCCATTAAAATATATGTGTATTTCTTAATAAAGCAAATAGCTCTAAAAAAAACAGTAAATGTAAAAATGACTGTCTTTTTTACCACACTGAGAAACGGAATTACATCAAAAAATTCATCAAAAGTATTCAAATATACTCAGCAAGAGCCAAACATCCATCCAGTTTCTAAATAACCAGTCCTTGTAAACTTTAAAATAGCAACAATTATTTTTTTTCTTTTCTCTCAAATGATATCAAATGGAAGAATAAATAAATCCATATTCTATTCCAGATAAAATTAACCTTTGGTTCACCTAAAGATCAAGCTTAGTCTAATTAGTGAAGAGGCCAGACCAGACAGTAATAACCAGCTCAAAGGAAAAAGAAACACACGATTAAGCAAGCAGATGGCTGCTTGAAATTTAATGAACAGACACTTTTGGATTTGATGGTTCAACTAGAAAAGGTCTTTTGCTTAAGCTCTTCCCTTGAGGACCCTGGATGGCTGGACTACAGTTCAGGTTAGAGCTTTTCTCCTTCCAAAAGTGATTTCCATAATTCATAAAAAGCCTCATGTTTACATCAAGCAAGCACAGCCCAGAGATCCATATTCCTTCAGATGGCATGCCAACTTACTCTACTTCTGGCCTCACCAAAGCAGAGTGGAAGAGGAAAAGCCCTTTTATCTTCCAAAGATCCCATTAAAAAAATAAAAAAGATTGGAAGCAACCATATCTTTGTGTCTTTTTTTAAATTATTTTGACATTTTTTTCTTTTTCTTTTTTTTTTTTTACTAATACATGTCTGTAGTACATAATGTTTACATTTTTGTGGGGAATTGGTACTTGTACATAATAAATCTTAATTCCCTTTCTTTCATCCCCCTTCCCTTCCCTCCCTCCCCACTCCATCTCTTGATTCCTTTCTTTCTTTCTTTTGCGGGGGGTACATGTTTGCAATATATAATGTTTACATTCCTTGTGTGGAACTGGTACATGTATATAACAAATCTTACTTCTTTTTCTCATCCTTTTTCCCTCCCCTCTTTGCTCCCTCTATCTCTTGATCTCTTTCCCCTTCTAAAAAGATCCCCTAAATACTTCCT